ATGCAAAACTAGACAATATAAATTTTCAGATAATTAAAAAAACTGAATTCTGTAACGACATATAATGTATAAATGTAATGGCATAAATTAATTTAAAAGTTACTCACAAATATTTTAATAATTATAAATGTTCATTTCGTGTATTATTGTATTATCTTTTTGTGGCAACAGTTTTCATACTGGATTTCTTTTTAGAATTCAATGTTTTGTTTTTAAGAGAAAATTAGTTTTACTACTAAAAGTTAAAAAATAAAGGATTTGGTATTTATATGGTAGTATTATTTGGGTACTCTTCTGTTATCGGGATCGGTTTCAGAAATGTATGCATGTGAATATAGTATATGTGTGTATGCAAACACATACATACATACATGCATACATGAACTCATACATATATACATACATACATACATACATACATCATATATACATACATATGTTTTTGAAACCGCTCCCAATAATAGATAAGCTCCCAATAAGTACCATTATTTGTAGTTCAATAAAATACCATTAAGGTAGTAAGTTTTTGTGTGCATCTTAGTACATTGTCTCAGCTGAGAACAAGTCCTTAAAACCTTAGTAAAAAAGAAATTATTTCTGAATCACTAAATTTCAGTTAATTTGAAAAAAAAAAAAAAAATCTGAAGAAGTCTTTAAAATCTCATGGCTTTGCCAGTTTCTGTGTGTTTTAATTTGTAGTGTACTGTATATGTGTTCCATTATCTGATGATTTCCTTGCTGTTATAAGCAGTATTAATTTAGTGAAAATGAATCATTTTCTTATGAAAATCTTTTTATTGAAACCTGGAAACAGGAAAAGAAACATGTCAATCAATGTAAGCTTTAAAATTAGAGTAGAGGACTTTAATTTTGAGGGTTTGAATAAAACTTTATTTTTTCTTTAATTTTGTTCCCCTGTTGAATGAAAGGAACTACTGTCTGATCATTCTCAATGAAATTTTGTTCAAAATCTACATGCAAAAATAGAGTTTTTTATTTTTTTTTTTTTTTTTATTTCAATAATTTTGAAACTAATGGTTGTTGAATACAAAGCAATGGAGAAATACTTTGCTAAATAAAATTTATATTTGAAGTTTTTATAAAAAATGAATTAAGAGTATTTCAATAATTATATTTATGTTTGCTCATGAGATATTATTATTCTTTGTATCTTTATAACATAAAAATTGAAGGGGGGGGGGGGGGGGATATTTGGAAAGATGAATAGGTTAAGGCTTTTTAAAGATGTTATAAATGTATTTTTAAAGACATTTCAGAGAAAAGTGTCATATGAATTCAAAGGAAAAACCTATTTAGAAATTCTGTTAAATTTATTTCTTATTTTTTTGTTGTTATTATTATTATTATTATTTTGCATTTTGTATAGATTTTCCGAGTATTTTATGATAGACTGGTTGACAATGGAGACCGTACTTGGTTTTTTGAATGTGTGAAAAAAGTTTGCCAAGAAGAACTCCATCAGGATTTTCATGAATTACTCTCATCACTGGATGTTGATAACGATAATATTGTAACAGAAGATGATATGCGATCTCTTATGTATTGTGATTTTAGTGATCCAAAGTCAGACAGCCGCCTTTATTTGGAGGTCACAGATTTCAGTTCTTTAAAAACAATCATTGAAGGTTATTTAGAAGAATATAACAACATGAGCAAGAAACCAATGGGTCTTGTTTTATTTAGGTAACTATTTTTAAATTTTATTTTAAGTTCAAAGGCAAAATTTGCTATTATACTCTTTGTATAACTTATCCAAGTATTTATTTAGGTTGTAGTTGAAATAGGAAGCAAAGACTGCATATTAAGTACAGCTTTTCCTTAAAAGAAAAGAATCTGGACACCATGTGATTTCTTTGTACAACCTATTAAATTACATACATTTTTTTCTATGCTTCGTTTAAACTCATTTCCACAAATTATTCTAACTTAATTAACCGATCCCTCAAGGAAAGTTGAAAATGACATCAAAAATTGCAAATTTTAAAATGAATTATCCCATTCAATTTTTGTAGTACAGGTGACAAACTTCCTGCATTTTTGTTTTTTGGTAATGCATATAAAACTTTCCCAAATATAACTACAAGACTCGTAAGCCTGCATTAAAAGTTAGATTTTGTTATTTGACCAATTTTTTTTTAATTTGACATTGTAAAATCATGAATGTTTTCATCATTTAAAACACTTCTATAATTGGAAGTATATGACTACAATGAACAATTGTGAAACAAAGAGCAAGAAAGAAGTCCGAGTATAATATTAAAATTAAGATTGCAAAGAATATAATTGTCAAAAATAAAAAATAAAAATAACAGATTATTAGCTGCGTAATAATAATATAAGATAAGCTACTAATTTTTTACTTAAAAAAATATTGGGAATTATATTATCCCCAAGATTAATTTAGTAGAATTATCTTAAAAGAGGTGAAAAATCATACTTAATAAGTCAATTTCAAAAAATGTTGTTAATGGGGACTTGAATTAACACTAATGAATACAAAATTTCAATTGTAAAAGAAAAATAAATTTAAAAGCATAGTAATTAAATTAAATGCAATGTAATCATGTGCCATTGATCGGGAAATTAGTTTGACTTTTCAAGGGGAACAAACCAACTCCTGTTCAAATGTAACAATTAATTAAGGATAAATACGAGAACGCGAGTTTCGCCTTCACGTCGGACAAGTAATAAGGACAAGGCAAATCGGCAATTCAAGCTAGGCCATAACATTTCCGTGAACAGAAGGGATATATATACGTTAGTATATATGCTACGAATTTTCAATATTCTTACAGCTAATTGTTTTGAGTTATGTGATATATATACGTATGTACAGACCTCATGAAAAAATCCATTTTGAACCTATTTACAATTTCTTTTGGAATGAAGAACCAATGATCTGACAAATGATCTTCATAATGGTCTCTATGGCCATGATCTGATCAAATATCTGAAGAATCATTACTGTTTTCATTCAAATGGAGAATTAGTCAGCTTTCTAGTATATCTGAGCAAATTCTTCCTGTGATGCAAAGTTGACTGTTGGTGTACCTTAAAGGCACTTTAGGCATTTGTGAAATATCTAATAATATAATAATAATAATAATGAGTAGTGTTGTTCATTGTAAATTTTTTAAATGTTTTACAGCATTAGGAATAATTCTGTTTTCATTTTAATTTATCTATGTATATTGTTCATGCATGTACTATTGTAAGTAACTGCTGAGTAACATAAAGATTTAAGTATAAAAATATGTGTTCACATATTGATGCAAACTCCTATTCATACTGATAAAACTTGGTGACATGGGGCTGTTTGCATTCACAAGAATCCACTGTATTTTGGAGTTAACTATGTAGGGCTTGTTGTATAGCTTTTCTACAAAATTACCAGGAAGGTAGCATTATTTGCAGAGGCATTGCATTTCATGTATTTATGTGTATAGGATAGTATTTTATGATTTTTTCAAAAAAGTTATTTGCATCTCATTGTCATGTTAATGAGCTGTCAGATTATCTTTTGTAACTAGTAAATGTAGCATATCATTGAAGACTAGACTCCATATCATGCATTTGGGTCTTACATAATTTGATATTCAGCCACAGCCCATCAGTTGCATTGTTTATTACATCAGCTGCGATTTTATGATAGATATATAGAGAGAAAATGAAAGAAGTGATATGATGACTTTTGCCTTGATATTTAAGACTGTTGAATTTCAATCAAAATATCCATTTTGATCATTCTTGAATAAATTCTAACTACATCAAGACTGTTTTGTTGTTAAAACATTTTAGCAGTCTTTCAAAAGTTTTAGACCATCATGTTCATTACATAATGTTATATAGTCAAAAGTCGTTAATCCGGACTCGTCGGGACTTCGGCAATCCCATTAGTATTTGTCAGGATTATAGCATCAGTTAAATCGGTAAATGGCTGCAGAAATTATAAAATTAAAATATGAAACCATAATTATGAAATAAGACAATATGATCTAAAGGGTACAAAATTACAGAAAAAAGCTTAATATTTATTTTTCTTATTAACTTTTTTTCAATTAAGTTGTTCGTTTTTTACTTGATAATACATTCTTTAGTCGATAAACACAGAATTTCTGTCAGTACAAGTTCCGTGTTCAGTCCTAATTCTGGTCGAAAAACAAATATTTGTCATCGAAGTTTTTCATTTCATACCTCGTCACTTTCTTCGTATCGAGCGATTATAAGACGAGGAAGTTGTTTAATCATCTCAAGACGGTTACATCGAGATGAATAATACATTTAGTAAGAATTATAAGCCAAATAAATAAAAACTATGCTCTGAAGATAAGATAGTGCTGAGATCACTTCCAATTCATTGCGGCGCCTGCCGCAGCATTAAAGATAAACAAATTTATATAACAAGGAATGCCTTATCCATTTTTTCATAAATCCAACTTTTGTTAATGGACTCGAACCACATACTTTCGCTTTGTAGATCCTTACATATAGAAATATATGAAATCTATTTGCATAACGAAAGTCAAGCTTGATTTATAAAATTTCTGTCCAGTCTGCAAAATATAATAACCAAATCCATTCGAAGATAAGGAACACCAATCTGCAACATTAACTGAATTAGATATTTTAGTAGCTTAGACTCCGTATACATAAATGTGCTTCAGTAAACCTATTTTGCGCTGCGGCACACCATATTCGCAGCCTCATGCGACGCACGGCAGAAAGTTTGTAGCTTGAGTCCGATTATGATCATTACGGATTATGGGTGTCCGAATTAACGACTTTTGACTGTATTATGCTATCATCCATATATTAAACTGGTATGTGTTACCTTTAGGTAAAATGTAAGATTTTTAATTTATCTTTCAAATTAAATCAATCTACTATTAATAACTAGATATTTAAAAGTTATAAATGTTGCTAATTTAATTATTTGTTTTATATAATAAAATAATGGATCTAATTGCTATAATTTGAAAGGCTTTTCATTTGTGTTATATCCTATCAGTGTGAACATTTGTGATGTTATTATAATTAATAAAATATATTTCTGATGATATTCACAGTGCATATGCAAAGTTTTAGGACTGATTTATTTTAAAAAATTCTGGAAAACCTGCCAAATAATGCTTAAGATCATTTGATTTACTATGACATTTCAGCTTCATTTTTACTAAAATATTATCTACTTATTAGAAAATTTTTCTATGCAGTTAATCATTCACTCTGTTTAATCAGTAAGCATCTATTATCACAATAAAAAAAAATAAAGTTTTGGTGCGGTTAATCCCAACTTTAAAAAAAAAAATCATTTTGACTGGAAACAGGCCAGCACCGACAATTGGCATGTGGTGCACTACAGCCCATAGTCAAAAAGGTGCTGGGCAGTCATTAAAACAAGTAGTTTGTCTCGCTGCCTGTATGAACAGAAAAATTCTTTTCGTATTTGAACGCCCCTTCGGGGTCGACTCAGGTAAAACCTGGGAAGCTACTGATTAGGATCTGTATCTAGGCAGTCTCGGCCGCGGGTGTTTAAAATCAGTCAACTGGAGTCATCACTAGCGATGGCTGTTTCAGGTTCAACAAGGACCATATGGGGTTCTCGTCCGTTCTGTTGGTAGTGGTTGAGCTATATAGTCAGATATTCATGGTTGTTCGGGGTGAAACACCTCCATCGGTGCAGTTGGTGAATTAAGCGAGCCTTTAAACTGCTTGAGGTTTCCAGTGGGCACCTGGAGCCTCAAAACTACATATTCATATCCTTCCTTGGTTCCTCCCGCTGGGGGCACCTAAAGCCATTTGTATACCATGATGTAGTGTTAGCAGGCCGAATTTGTGTCTCAGTGCTGTCTGACATCTTAAGTGTCTGACAGTGCTTAAGTGACTTCACTCTGCTGTCCGGGGTTGGGGCCCCTGTTGATGCCAGATGTTTTCACTTAATCTTAGCTTGTCAGCTAGACCTTAGATCACCTCTAGGGGTTGGGACATTTAACTGTGTTAAGGAAACCTCAAGATTGCCAGATCTGAGTGCCCCTTCCTCCTAGCACACTGTCTTATTTGACCAAAAGTTATAACCAGGCCAGGAGTTTGTCTCTGGTCTGGTTATAACTTTTGGTTATAACCAAAGTTATAACCAAAAGGAGTAGTCTTGGCCAGGAGTTTGTCTCTGGTGTTCTCTTCTGTTTTATTTGAAAGTGAAAACACATGATGTTGATGCATATGTAAGCATAGACGCATTCGAAAAATTGCTCAATCCTTATTTATGTCTACTGCTGCAATAGTAGTAATTTGTTGCAACATTTATCTTTTTTGGGATTGCTCGTTGTTATTGTTTTTTTACATAAAAAAAGGTAAGTGCAGTTTCATATTGCGTTAAACTTAGGTTAACTTTTTAATTCGGAAAAGCAATGTTTTGAGCATAATTACTCGAAAACTGTTTACCTCTCATGTTTGAACCATTGTCGTAATTTTGGCCGTGTAAATTATTAATAACTACACTCTAAATGTTTTCATTTTCCCACTGGTCCTCTACAATTTCTTCAATAAACCTCTTATTTTAATGGATACCTCTTACAAATTAAATCTCTCTTGATATCTGGCATCAGGGGTACAATCCAGTAAAATAGAAAAATACTTTGCCTGTTTGACCTTACTTAAAATATTTGGCTTTATGTTATCCCCTAATAAGCTGATTGTTTCATTTTGAATTTTACCTTCAAGGTAATGAAGCATTTTTTTTTTAGTTTGAATTTTATTAATATTTACTGACATGATAGGGTCAAATTAAAAATTATGATTTCTTTCGAATAACTTGTTACTGGAACCACGGAAGGCTAAGTTTTGTTTGGCTAAACTGAATGCATACAGAATCTTTCAATTTGCTGCTTTCTTTTTTTTTTTTTTTTTTTAATAAATGTTGAAATTAGAATCAACAGGTTTATTTTCGCAATATTCTAAGAAATCAGACCAAAGATTAATTCACAAAATGCATTTTTTTTTCATGAAGTTTTAAAGTGCTCTTTAAGTGTGTTCCATTCATTAAATTCCTAACTACTCAGTTTTGCATTGTTGAAACTGTTAAAAATTTTGCAACAAAAACAATAAACATAATTTTTTCAGCAGAATTTAGCAACCTTTTAACTCTTTTGTTGTTTGGCAAGATTCGACAAAATTACATCTAAAAAAATTTACGTCTATTTTTGTCTTTTGGGAAGCCAAAACTCGAAACCAGGATATCCAGGACCATTTACTACTATGGCTTGCACTTGGGATAGCAATAATGGACTTGGGTATAAACCAGAATCATCAGGCACAGGAAAATGCATATCTACTGCTGAAAGTGTAGATTTCACTAGTATTTCTTCTGTTTTTTAGACCAGCTGCATTGAAGTTCAAGGTAATTTTCTTGTGAAAACACTTTCTAACTCTTTCTCATTATTAGTTTCTTTTGACAATTTAAGTGGCAGCTAAAACGTTGATGGGCAACCAATACTAGTAGCGTGAGCTTGGATATTCTCTGGGTTTTTGAAAAACTAAGTAATTTTAAAGTTTTGGTTTATTAAGTCTTTCTCTCACTTTCTTTTTCTTCATTGCATTCTGATCCTCAGACAGTTTTTTCTGTTTTTCTTCCGACATCTGGGGAAATCTTTTTATTTTGCAAATAAAAATATAATGGCAAGTGCAAAAGATTATGATGAAAAGAGAATATGTAATATAATTTTAATTTTTCTGTGATTAACATATAGTGATTCTAATAGATTTTTGAGTGTAATTACATAATTTTAAACAGTAGATAGAATTGATTTAAGATAAAAGATGCCTTGATTTACAGTTAATGGATTTCACTTCTGTAATATGTGCTTGAAAAATCCTTGATGTTAAAAGTGAGGACCTGTTAGCAACATTTATCACCATAGTTTGCTTATGCGAATAATAGTGGCTGCTGCAATATAATAGGTTGAGTAAGCAGATGCACAAAGATATTCTATCTAACCTGTTACAAAATTAGTAAACTATTCAGAATATTTTTTTAAAGAAGTATATAAATTCTTGAAGTTTACTCTAAATAAAATTGAATTCTCAATCTTTCCAGAGTAAGAATTTATCTTTCAGAACATAAAAAGCTAACTAGCTAGTGACTATTCATAGCTAGTGACTTATATTCAAATGTGATCATCTACATATATGTATATAGGTTACTTGGAATATAAATTTTGAAACTGATTGTATTATTCCTTTCAATTTTGAAATTTTGAATTTCGAGTTTTTGTGCATTTTGTTCTATATGCATTCATTCTTTTTATAATTTTAGAAGTCATACTATCTTAGACTGTATGCAGTATATTTTAATCTTTTTATTTGCTTTCCCTTCACTTCTTATATTGCTTTGATTTCCCTTTTAAATTTTAGATTTGCTGTTGAGCATCTGTGTCGTATCTCCAGAGTCCTTAAACAGCGTCGTAGTCATGCTTTGCTTGTTGGGGTTGGTGGATCAGGAAGACAGTCTCTTACACATTTAGCAGCTCATGTTGCAGACTATGAACTTTTTCAGGTTTATAATTACTATTATCTTATAAACATGTCTAATGTTGTATCTTTCCTGATTTAGCTTCCTGAAAATAGAAGCCTCCAAAAAATACTTTTAATTTTTATACATTTAAAAACCTTTTCGTGAAGGCACATATGTGAAGAGTGAGAGCAATTTCTGATGACTTAATAAAACAAATATATGCTTTCAACAAAATATAAATTTAAGATTAGCTTCTCCTCATACAGATTTCACAATTTAATAAAATAGTTAATCTGTTATTAATCAAAAATGGGATTAGCAGGACTGGTTTTCAGGAGCAGTTTCAGAGATTTCAGTTCTATATTGGGTCTCTCTTTAAATTTATATTCATGGGGTTTCGTTTAAATTTCTGTTTTCTTATGTGTGTTCTGAATATAAAATATCATCACCAATCATTTAATTTTAAAAATAAAGATATAAATATTTTTTCTTCTTTTGGGGAGAATTGGGATATGTTAGAATTTTAAAAAGGGTTGGTTTTCTTTCACCAAATAAATTAGTTATAACACAAAAATGTAAAGCAAAACTTGCACAATATTAATGAATGTGCATAATAATTTCAATGAAACATCTAAAACGCTTTGTGTGTATTTTCCCTGAATTCAAAATTACAGTACACTTACTAATTTTAGTATGCCAAATTTTAAAATTCACACAAAAAAGAAGCTAACCTGAGTTTTGCATGTAGTTCTCTGATGTTTTGCAACATTATACTGAAAATCTTTAGTTAGAAGTGTATAGCAAAATTTTAACAATTATTTTGCTCAGTTTATGTCACATGAAGATCATAAATAAGTTTATACTGGACTCATCGGACTCAAACAGCGATGAATCCGGACCAGAATCCGGACTCATCGGGACTTTGGCGATTCCGGATTATAGATCATCAATTTAAATCTGGTAAGATGGTATACAGAAATTATACAATTAAAAATATGAAACGAATTATGAAAAAAGAGCAATTATGATCTAAATATCAAAATTTACAAAAAAAAGCTTAATATTTATTTGTTTACTTTATTAACATTTCTTTCAATGTAAGTTGTTTAAGTTGCTTTTTTTGTGCTAAAACTTTCTCTTTAATTATAAAACATATTCTTGTTCAGTTACAAAGTTCCACTGGTCAAGTCCTTAATTCTGGTCGAGAATACTAACTTAAAAATCGATTTTTCATTTTCAACAACATGTCTGTCACTTTCTTCACTATCGGAAGCGGTATTTTCTGGATCTAGAACCATACTACAGATTTCGCCGTCCGTTAATTGATTGATGATTGGGTCATTGTCGCCGCAATGAAAAACTTCTGTTATATCATCTTCATTTATTACCACTTTTCCACATTTCTTTACAAAATCCAATAACTGGAAAATTTCACCTTTAGTTTGCGATGTCCGAAAACTTTCAAATTCGCGGCTATCATCTTCATCGTCCTCACCATGACATATGATAGCTGGCCATAAATTATACCAAAATTGCTCTAACAGTCTGCAAAAAGTAATAAGCTGGATCCAATTAGAGGTCGTGCATGTTTTCCGATTATGAAAAGTTTACACTTGTGCAATCCTGCAGCATTTGCGCAGGCTAAAATTGTTAGTCTCGCTTTGGAATCTTTGATGTAAGTTGGAGCCTTTTCTGTAGAGGTTGCCAAGGTATTTTGCAGTACATATTGGCAGAAAAGACCAGTTTCATCAGTGTTGTAAAATTTGTTTCTGTAGATATTGACGTAGTAATGAGTTTTAATGAATTCACTGCAACTTGTTCAACTTCATTAAATTTTTTTTCAAACTTTTTTGCAGTATTTTGCAGTAAAAGACCAGTTCATCAGTGTTGTAAATTTGTTCTGGAGATAATTGTTCACTAGTAATGAGTTTAATGAATTCATCTGCAACTTGTTCAGCAGCTTCAGTATCAGCTGAAGCTTTTTCACCTGAAATTTTTATTTGTCTTATATCACGGCGATTTTTAAATTTCATTAACCAACCTGTCGAATATGTGGGCTCAGTGTTTAAGTTCATTTCTTCATGAAATATTTTAGCTTGAGCCATTAGCATTGGACCCATCAATGGCATGCCCTTCCCTGTGACACTGTGTGACCCATTCAATCATCACTTTGAGCATAACAAACCCTTTTTCTGTTATTCATTGCAAGTGAGGTGTCGGAATCCACAAAAAATTCAAAAAAGTTCCTTTTTCTTTTTGCTTGTCATATACAGTTGACTTTCCAATGTCATACTCCTCGTATAATTTTGAGACGGATATGCCTTTATCCATTTTTTGCAGCAATTCCACTTTTTGTTTGATGGACATCGAAACATGCTTTCGCTTTGGCAGCTCCGAAATTGGAAACTCTTTTTAACATAATCGAAATTTCAAGCTTAATCTTTATAAAATTGCTCTAACAGTCTGTAAAAAATAATAAGCCAGATCCAATTAGAAGATTAAGGAACAGTGCAATCTGCAACATTAACTGAAATGCAAAATTATATATATATTTTTTGGTCACTTTAAACAAACAAACGCCTATGCGCATGCGTCAACGCGGCGCATGCGCAGAAAGTTTTTAGCTTTGAGGTCCGGATTATAGATCATTCCGGATTATGCATGGAGGTAGGAAGTAAGATGGAGTCACCCTAAACAAGTTTCTCCGTACCCTGCTCTGAAGCACCGGCGATCCCTATGTGGTGACCAAACATTGGGTCATTTACCATTGAGTTCTATGGGATTTTTGACGCGTTCAGGTGTAAATATTTTGTAATTACGTCGCAAATATACATATAAATGTATATATTTTCTTTTTCTACAACACTTCAGATTCCTAAGTATGTGAAAACAACATATTTTTAAACAACATTTCATTCTGAACGGAATTAAATGCTATACTTTTCACAGGACAGTTTTCTCAGAATTGTTTAATTTGAATGAAATATTTTCACAAGTTTTCGTTAATTACATTAAAAAAAAAAATTAAGGTAATTCGATTTTATTCGGTTAAGGTACAAAAATTAAGATCAAAGTTTATTGTAATATTAATATTAAAATTATGCATTATTTCTTTTCTATTTATAGAGCTTCTTCCTAAAATACTTTCTTAAATATGACATGATTTTTTGGCTTCTTTTAAAATCGAAAAATGTAAGTCAATTTATAATTAATGCTCTATTCAGTTCATTTTAAATTAGAGATTAATTAAATAAATAGGTTTAAATAGTATTTGACTTTCTCTGAACATTTCTGAAAGAGAATAAAATAAGTTTTTTTTTTTTTTTTTTTTTTTTTTTTTTTTTTTTTTTAAGTATTATTTAAAACTTGTAACTGAGTTATTATATAAATGTAAAAAATGTAAAGGGAATAATTCTTTTAATTATACTTATCATACTTATCAGATTTTTTTTTTTTTTTTTTTACCCTTCATTTCAACAATACATATTCCAAAACTCTTTATTACGTTCTTAAGTGTGCATCTCATAGCATTTGCTTTATAATACCTTTTAACAGATTGCTTTCCAATACGAACAATTCTTGCTTAAATAGTTTTATAACGTATTTGTCAACAGGATTTCAATTTATGTTTACAATTCAATATTAAGGTTATTATATATTTAGATAACATTTATAATCATTATAAATTAGATACATTTAATTAGATTTCTTCACAGTACTTTCACAGTTGTTTATAAGTGAATAAATTCTTCATTTCAAATACATTTATAAATAATTTAATGAATATTTAAGTATTTTGTCAAAGGCAGATACATGCTTTTTGCAAGCACATGCATAAAATACCCAGTACATATTTCCTATTTATCATTTCCGGCATGTGCAAATCTTTAATTTCTGTGCATTCACTATATTTTTTGTGTAAAGTAATTTACACTAATTTAGCATACACCCGAAAGTTTTACATAAAAAATATATATGAATATAATTTGAATGAAAATATAAGTATTATTTTTAATACCCACTCAAAGGTCAGTTTTTCTTCAAAATTCCTCCACAATGGCATCTCTCTCTTTAGGCAGATAGCCCTTGCATGCGTTACTCTATTTAATAAAAACTTAATCTGACCTATGTGCCTAATTACAAATAATTTAACATACATAATTTTATATTTACATTAGCCATCAAGTTTCAAATTTTTTCAAATCTTCTAGAAAAATAAATTTTGGCAGATCTCTTTAGCAATTTTCTTAAAATCTATATTTTTTGTAGTGCAACAGCTTAGAATTTTAAAAAACAAATTCATAATCAAAATCGCTGTTGTTAGTTATCGAAAAAATAACCAAGATGTGATTTTTGCATAAATGTCAGTAAACTATACAAATTGCTATTATCCATCACACTATGAATGTTTTTTTCATGCGAGAGTGTCCCTTTTTCGATTTCTATGGAACTGTCGTGTGTCGAAATACTATCAGAATCATGTCAAGCGAGCTTCTGAATGTAAACAAAGAACACCCCTTCTGGTGACTCAAGCTTCAAAGCAGTGCTTCACTTCTAGCACGGAATGGCCCCTCCTCCCTTTCCTACCTCCATGGGATTATGGGTGTCCAAATTAACGACTTTTGATTGTATATCTCGTAACGTTCTTGGAACACTCAGTGTTCTGATTTCCGCCTTCACCAGTAAATCTCTATGTAAAGACAGCCTTCTTCTAGATAAACAGAAAACTGAATGATGTCTACTTCTCTATTCACTGAGACAAAAATTTTTGCATTTCTGAAACTGGGGTGAGATGTTTCTTGGTAATGGCTATGCTCTTTAATGTCAATGCACTTTTCATGCTTGATTTATTTGATTATGGTAAAGCACACTTGTGATATTTGTCTAGCGATAATTATGTCTTTATGCAGGACTTTTTAATCGAACTTGCATTTCATGCTTTCAGCAACGTAAACTCCTCTATCACATTCAGTGTTAAAATAGGGGGATTTATATCTTGAGTTGTTGCTGATGTAATTTTCCCATTTTTGAAGCATGTAAATTATTCTTCTACCATGAAGGTTTTAGATTTATTAAAAACACTTTCAATTTTGTGTTTTGCATTCATTTCAAGGATAAATAAACAACAAACACTAATAGTAGTTGTAAACAAGTGACTAAACTAAGCACATGAATATTGAATGCAAGAACTGCAGTTCAGAGAAAAGATAAATTATTTATGGAGACCTTTCTTTTTCATAGATTTCATTTTTAATGTTAGAACTTTTTTCCTTTATGTAACTACAGAGTTTCATAAGTTAGAGGATTATTGTTAGGAATAGTTTATATTAAACAAGGATTATGTGAATCTATATTAATGTTTGTTATTGCAGTACTTTCTTATTGCCCGCATCCTTTCCCTGCCAAATGTGTGCAAACTCATCGATGATTAATTTTTCTCCTAGCTAATGCACAAAAGATGACAGTGATTTTCAAAATGGCAGCATGCTAAAAATTCCATAGAACAGCAAGCAATTAATAGAATTTAAAAAGCAAGGAATATTGATAATAAAACACCTTTTTTGAGAAATCCTTCTGTACTTTCTGATCATCTGTATCCCTACTAAAAAGTTGCAAATGATATTCATAAGTAAAGCAATCTGTCACCAAAATAGTCATGTTGTAAACCCACGATGTCACTAAAAAGGATCTGTATGGCAACCCAGCTTTGAGAGTACCACATTTTTGTTTTGGCCACTGTGCAGTACCGAAATTGGACAAATACTAAGTTAATGCAATTCTCTGATGGTTTTTTGAGGCAAAACAGAACAGCTGTATACATGAGGAAAATAAAAGAAAAAAAAATTTCTCAAAAAAAAAAAAAAGAAGAAGAAGAAGAAGAAGAAGAAAAAAGTAAGCGTATTATTACTGATATTTCATGCTTTTTAAATTTTATTTGTTGATTCTCTCGTATGGAATTCTTTATGCACAACTGTTCCTGTTTGTACATTAGTTTGGTATAAAATAAGTCTCCAGCAAGTTCATACCTTTTTGGTTGGGGACACGAATAATCAGAAAGTACCTGAATTTTGAACATCTTGTTTAAACTAAAATAAGGTTAGAGATATTTTCAGTTTGGAAAATTAATTTATGTATCTTATGACTTCAGGTGGAAATAAGCAAAAGCTACACGATGACTGAATGGCGTGACGACCTTAAATTGATTCTTCGCAAATCAACAGTTTCTGAACAGCATGGTGTTTTCCTGTTCACTGACACTCAAATCAAGGAGGAATCATTTTTAGAAGATATAAATAACTTACTTAATGCTGGTGAAGTTCCAAATCTGTTTGCAACTGATGAAAAACAAGAAATCTGTGAGAAAATGAGACAGATCGATAAGTAAGATAATCTTAATCATGCTTCATATAATAAACTGACTATTCTAATTAAAGCATGCAATTTTTTTAATAAATTGTTCTCCAAATGTACCTTAAAAAAACTCTTTACACTTGCTTATTTTGACTTAATACTATAATCATTATATAGGCTGTTTCATATTGAATGGGGCAAAAAGAAAGCATACCTTTGAATGCTGTAATTACTTAATTTTGACAAATCAAATTTACAGTGAAACTATTGTTATCCTAGTTTTTATAGGTGTTCTATATGTGCCCCTCTGAAGATATGGTAAATATCTATGTGATATTCTTTTCCTGCCACACTCAGGATAGAATATCCTTTGTTTATGATTCAAACACTTCAGTTAGCCACTGTTTCAGTTGCTCTAAGTCCTGAGGAAATTGGAGGCATAAAAATTTTGTCTTTAACAAAACCCCATAGGAAAAAAATCGCAAGGTGTTAGATCCGGGGATCTCAGTGGCCAACAAAGCAATGATTTATTGTTTGACCCAGCACAGCCAATCCAGCAATGGTGTAGACTATTGTTTGGGTACTTGTGTATGTTTTTATGTCATTGCATTGTCTTGCTGCAGAATGAAGCTGGGAACTGCTTCCTCCAACTTTGAAAACAAGCACTCTGATGGCATATACTCGTACACTCGTTAATCAATTTTTCTGCAAAGAAAAAAAGGGCCACAAACAGAACTGTTGGAAATTGCACAGGAAAACTTCACCTTTAGAGAATCACACTCATGTTCCATTACATCATGTGGATTTTCTGTGCCCCAAAATCATAAATCTAGGTGTTTAACTTTCCCAGAAATGGGAAAAGTGGCTTCCACAAGTCTGTTCGTGATACCATCTGGCTCCAGCTTATATTGAAAATTTTAATGCCTGGACCATCTGAAAAGTGCATGGGCATGCAAAACTAAAAAACGGTGTGTGGCAAACCTCAAGAAGGCAAAACATGCCAAAATCAAAAATGAAAAATAATTTTTACGTCTCTCAGGAGGTTGGGGCAATGAAAGAAGGAAATAAATAAAATAGACTGTTTCTGAACTGACAAGGATACAATTTAAAATTTTAAAATAATAATCTTAGAAAAACAATCAAATTAATCTGTTTATCAGTCTAGTCCGTACAGACTGAATAAACAACGAAAAAATTGAAGCATCAGGAAAAGAGACAAATTCAAAATAACTCTGAAATAGTAGGCAACCAAAAAAAAAATTGAATAAATTGAGTCAAAGAACAAAAATTTCAAAAATAATAATGCAACGCTTGAAAAAACAAAGCTTGCAAAAATAATAATCCGACACTTGAAAAAACAAAACCATATGCAAATTTTTTAATTCAAAACTGGGAAAATAAAACTAAATGCAGATTTTGAAAACACACAGGGTGGGTTAAAAAATAAAAGCAAAAAAGCTTAAAAACTCAAATAACTTTTTTATTTTTATTTTTTTTATTTTTTATTTATTTTATTTTTTTTATTTTTTTTTTTTTTTTTTTTTTTTTTTTTTTTTTTTTTTATTTTATATATATATATATTTTTATTTTAGCAGACTGAGTCCAAAAACATATAAACCAAAAGTAATCCAACATATGCAAAAATAAAAAGTGAAATGGAAGTCTGATCTAGGAAATATAAAATATGATATAATATAATATAAAAATAACAAATATAGGAGTAAGTTCTTAAAATCTATAACATAAGAACAACAAAAGCTTGGAAATGATAAAATATATTTATCTACTCCAGTATAGTAGCAAAGCCTAAAATGTGTTGAGATAAACTACAAATTAAAACTGATAAAACTCAGTAAATATAATTAGAAAAAATCATATTGTAGAAGAAAAAATGAGTAACTTTTTAAAAGAACATTGAATTATGTTGTTTATGTATCCTTGTTTGTAATTATATATGAAGGCGGGCATATAGCATAGAATAGAAGTGAATAGAATAGAACAGAATATGGAATATTAATCTACTAAACGTGGCAAGCTACCTAACATGAAGAAAGCGTCAAAGCGATGAAGCATAAACCTTGAAATCAATCTTAGAACAAAATGTAAATTAAAACAAAAACAGTTAAATAACAAAATTTTATGATTACTTAATTGTTTTTGTTTTATTCTACATTCTGATCCGGAGTTTATCTCTAGGTTAATGCTTCATGTTATTAGATTTTTGCTTTTTTCTCATTTTATTCTTTTTATTGATATTAATTTCACAGCATTTTGTGTGACATTAATAGTTTTTAATTAAATATTTTTAACTAGTTATCTCTCTATGAATATCTGTGCAAAGTAAGAGAAAAAGCTTTTATAATAATACAATTTATGCTTTCAAAATTGCTAATGTACAAAAAAAAAAATATGTATAATGAACTTCTGAGAGCCTTATTTTAAATTAACCAATTATTATTATTTGAATCTGTACTTTAACTTCTTCCCATAGTCCTCACCAAAATGGACATTAGTTGTTTATACATTTAAGTTGAGGTTTTCTGCCAGCTCTAGCAATTTTAACTATCTCAGCTTTGCATCCCTCACCTCCAAGACTTTAATCTGATATGACAGTAAATTATTGAGCCAGCTTGTAGCTTAGTGTTTAACTGTGTTGTCTTAGACTACTTATCAGTGTAAATTTAATTGACGTATTTATCTATTAGCGTTATAGGACTAAAGCAGCAGTATTAAACCAACTATAACCTTATAAATTATAAAAGCTAACTGCAGATGTATGGAACGTGTTTTATGAAATGCTTTTTGTGAGATTAAGTATTTTTCATAGAAACTTATTTTTAAACTCATTATTGCATGGGATTTATTTTGTCCAGTTATATTTGTTATAGAATTTTTTTTCTTCTCAAAACATTAATAATTTTTAGGCAGTTCTTCCTTTATTCATAGTTTCTATTTGTGGTTGAAATATGTAAATGAAAACTCATAACAATGAGGAAAATTAAAGTTTTTTAAACAACAATATATTTATTACTTAACATGTTTAAGTTCTTGAATAAGGAATGTAAGTAATAAGCTTACAGAAAATGCAAGAAAAGTATAAATTCAAATGGCAAATTAGTTGTCTGGTATCTAGTAGTATTCCTTCAAAAAAAAAATCTGAAAATGAAACTGTGTTATAATATTCTGCTATATTAAAATGCATGAATGTGTTATAAACAAAGGAAGTTATGGACATCTTATTATTTGATATTTCTGACCACACTCTCTTGTGTGAGAAAATTTGATTTTGTTGTGCTTATTACAAAATAAGTTTTTGTGAATGCATGTTTTCATGAAGGAAATTTAATTTCTTTAATTACAGCCATACTATTAATTTAGATTATACTTTTAAATCATGTAAATAACAACTTTAAATTATTTTTCTTCTTTTCATTATTTAGACAAAGAGAAAAATCTCAACAAACTGATGGCTCTCCAGTTGCTCTGTTTAATTTATTTATTCAGAGAGTACGTGATCAGTTGCACATTGTTTTAGCCATGAGTCCAATTGGAGATTCCTTTCGAAATCGATTGCGTAAATTCCCATCATTAGTTAATTGTTGCACTATTGACTGGTTCCAGGTATGCTACATTCTTGCTTATTTATATTAATTTATGTTTTAATTTTTTTTTCCGTTTTTCTTATACATGCATTACAATTTATTTATTAGACTTTATGCTTAGGAACTAATGTGAGCAGCATAAAATTAACCAACTTAAATGTTTACAAATTTGACTCTTATTTATGCCTTAAAGAGTGCTAAAGAAGTTTCTCTTTGAAAACATTGAGGTTGTATGTATGAGTATGTGTTAGAGTGAGCATATACTGTACTGTGAAATTAACTGGGACAAAGCAATTTCTTTTATAATTTAAATATCTTCATATACAGTTTTAATAATAAAATTATAAGGAAATATGGTCTCCTTTAGCAGAAATGAATCTAGAATATGCGTAGGCATTAAATTTACTAATCTGGAACATATACATGTGCATAGGAAAGTCCCTTTAACCTGAAAATTCTTGCAAACGGAGACAGCTATGGCTATGCATGTGAGGTAACGGTACAGTAAAGTGACTATGCCCAACCTAATGCAAATGACAACAATACCCCAGCAATGTGGCGAACTTTGGAAGATAGGCATTGCAAATCAAAAGTGAAAAAATAGAGCAAAATTTCCAATTAGAAAGTTTTAGTGCATCAGTTAATTAGTACAAAAGGACATTTGGTTCACATGGATAAGAGAAATTGTTGCCCGCAAACCCAAAGATGTCTGCAATTGACACAGGACAATTCTACTCTGCATATTCCAACATAATCTCAAACCTCATTATAATCTCGATGGCGGATGTTAACATTAACTTGCTATCACTGTGTGACAGTTTACTTTTGTCCCCCTTTTTTCTTGTGTGTGTGTCAAACTATATTGACATGAGCACGTATTTTATGCAATAAAAAGGTGCGTATTTCATAGTACCTATGGCTGTTCCTTTCAAACATTTACACAAAATGGAGTGCATCGATTGCAGATATCTTTGGGTATACAGGCAACAATTTAGCTCATCTATGTGAATCAAATGTCATCTCATACTAATTAATTGAAGCTCTAAAATTTTCTGATTGGAAATTTTGCTCTATCTCTTTTTGTTTTCAAATTTCACCACTAAGAGCGCTGCTGTCATTTGCATATGTCGGGCATAGTCACTTTACTTTACCATTACCTCATTTTCATAGCTGTAGCTCTCTCCGTTTGTAAGAATTTTTAGGTTAAAGAGACTTTCCTATGCATCCTGTATATGTATGTTATAGTGTTCTTAATTATGTATTATTTTGTCATACTACTATTCATTTTGCCTTCATTGGTCACTGATTAAGTTTCTGTTCTATTTGTAAAAAACTTCTGGGAGTGTATAGCAGTGTTGTAATACACCACAGTAGCACAGCTGTCTGTGGTGCAGCAATGTACCACAGATGGCTTGCCAGGTTTCAGATGGTGATTTCAGCATATAAGACAAGCCATGTTCCCATGACAAAGCTATCAATGAGGCAATCTCATTCAAGAAGACAGAGGCATAAGGCAGATCATGGGCCACACTAGAATACCTGCTAGAATTGTTGTAATAAATATTTCCAGATTAGGTTATAGGAAATTCTCTGCTCATCTGTAAACTATAAACTAAAGAAATGATGCATGTGAGTATAGATATGTACAACAATCTTCTCAAAATATTTAGTGATTAACCATTAAAACTTTTCAGAATGCTTCCATAATGTTATCTCTAAAATGCCTGGTTATTTCATCCTGACCATGAATGCAAATGGCAGTCAATGAAATAGAGGCTTTAGGGGTCTCCTTTTAAAAGAAGCCATAACTCTCTAGATCAGGGTTTTTTAACCTTATTCCCTTTCTGGACACATCTGACAAACAGGAAATGCTAGTGGGTGCAGTAAAAAAAAAAGTATAACAATTCTAAATATTTCTTTATTTTATTGCAATCATAAGCATCATAAACAGTCATGGGCACATAAAAAGAGCTTCGCTGGTACATTGGGGCCTGCGGGCACGTGGTTAAGAACCCCTTCTCTAGATCATGTTACAAACTAATGGACACTCTGTTCTAGAACTGAAATGGACTAATCGTCAACAAAGAAAGGTATTGTGTATCACTGAACAAGCTTAACCATAATAACGAAGATTTAACCATCTATTATGTACCAAGAGATCAGAGTTACAAAATAATGACTTTAAGCTGTACTGCAACAGTCCAGATCTTACACATCATGTTTATGTCCAGACCTTGCACATTATGTTTGATAATGCTGAAAACTGCAAAACACTTATTAGACAATAGTACTTTTGCAGACTATACCTTATTCCTTCAGATTGTTTATCTTTTTCTGCCTGTAAAGGTTACTTGCATGGTAAAATGTTTATGAATTACAAGAGCCTTACTGAATTGTCAAAAACTGATGTGCTGGCCAACCTCTTTATCAAAATGCATTCATAATCTGAAAATCTGTTTCATTAGATTATCAAAAAATGCTGGCAAAAATACAGTACAGCCACTAGAACCTACATTAAATGGTATGTTATTGTGACATATGTGCCCAAAATTACTTTACTTAAAATTTTTCAGAGCTTCTGAATTGTGTTATAAAAAAACAGTTTATTTGTAAAAGTGAATTCACATCAGTTCATTTACTGGACAGTTTAAAAATACATTTTATCTGTGTAGTCTGAAATATGTTTGACAAAACTGATTTAATGTAATATTTTTGGAAATATATTTTTAATTATTTTTATGTTTGAATGTTCTCTGAATATCCACATTTTATCATTTTATGATATAATATTTTTAGGCATGGCCTGAGGATGCCCTTGAAGCTGTTGCTACCAAATTCCTTGAAGAAGTTGAACTAGCAGAAAATGAAAGGGATGGCTGTATATACATGTGTAAGAGTTTCCATACTACTACAGAGGAATTTTCACAACTTTATTTTACAAAGTTGCAGCGACATAATTATGTTACACCCACTTCATTTTTAGAACTAATTTCTACATTCAATACTCTTCTGGAAAAAAAAAGGAAGTATGTTTTAGTAATTTTTACTGAAGTTTATGTCTTGTTAAAACTGTTCATTAATTTTATCTTATTGCACTTAGAAAACTGATGTTTGTCAAATATTATATGATTTATCTAATCATGTTAGGAAGTATTCATCTGGAATGATTTTTTATTATGCTGTTAAATAAATAGATTAGTTTTTTCTCTGTAAATCTTGTGATTGAATATTTCTTGTATGGGTCTCTATTCATTTGCTTAGAAATACTGTATGTTTTTACAGGGGGGGGGAGTATTTGTCGGCATCCATGAAATGCGCAGAAGATAGTTTTATATATAAATGCTTTTTCTTTCAACTGTATTAACTGCAAAGAAAATCTCACAAGTTATCTCTTAATAAAGAAATAAATAAGCATTTTTAACTTCTTTCAAAAATATTTTCTCTTTTAATATTATGTAAAATTTATTTTCAGTCATTATAGTATTTGCTGAGGTTGTTTACTTTTCAGGTTATGTTTCCCAAATCATTATCAGATCTCCTTTTTTCAACTTTGTAAATTTTTCACTTATGAGTTTAAAGTGTTCTATAGAATAATTAATGATATGTCTCAACTTCTAGGTCAGTATTGAATGCAAAAAAACGTTATGAAACTGGTTTGCAAGAACTTCAAAATGCTGCATATGCTGTAACTAAAATGCAAGAAAAATTGACTAGTCTTCAGCCAACTTTAGTTATTGCTGGCAAAAAAGTTGAGGAACAAATGGCAATAGTTCAAGCTGAATCAGCAGATGTTGCTGAAGTGGAAAAAGTAGTCAAACAAGATGAAGCTGTAGCAAATGAGCAGGCTGCAGCTGCACAAGCTATTAAAGATGAATGTGACTCGGATCTAGCTAAAGCTGTTCCGATTCTTGAAGCTGCTTTAGCTGCTTTAGATATATTGACTCCTGCTGTAAGTCTTCTTTTTTTTTTTTTTTTTTTTTTCTTTCCCAATATGTTATTGTAAGAAGCATAAATATTTGTCTTTATTTAGCTGTATCCTGTTATATTATGATTTGGTCCTAATTTGTATTATAATTTTTTTATATATTTATTAATTTATTTTGAGCATTATTTATTATTTACTTCTGATGTAATGCATAAATTATTTTTGTAACAGAACTATTTAAGTGTAATTGAACTATTTTATTCAACTCCATGAACTGTAACCGAACTATTTTATTTAAATGCCATCTCGTGGCGATATGAAAAAACGTCAGTCGACCTCCAGCCGCCGAACGGCTACATCACATTTTCTGATTTATTTTATTTAGTAGATGCTATTTGTATTTTTGTGACTAAAATATTTGTAAAAATAGCTGAAGAAGAAATTAGGGACATAGGATTTTAGCATCTGTCATGTCTTAACAACATTTTACATGTCTCTAAGAAATATATTTATAAGAAATTAGGCCAGTTTTGTAGAGAGCAATTATAGTGTCATTGGTTGAGGTCCCATATCGAGAATTAATCTATCCTATTTGAAGATTAAAGCGATATTGAGTTTCAATACCTATTCAACAGTAAATAATAGAAATGGATAAAAAGAGCAGATGAATAAAAAAATAAATGAAAAAATGAGAATAAATTGTATTTTTGATAAAGCCAAAAATTTAAAAATATGATTTAAAGTAGAAAAAAGAAAGCCTGTCCTCACAAAAGTTAATTTTTGAAGGGAAAATTTCCGTAGCATCCTGTGATTAGAATATATGCCAAATTTTATAAAGTATTTCTCCCGCCTTCTTAGCGTGCCTTCATGGTGTAGGGGTCTGCACACTTGGCGTGCATTCAAAAAGTCCTTGGTTCGATTCCTGGCAAGGGCATTGCTTATTTTTCAAGTCTCCTGCTTCCAAAAAAATCCTAATGTCTCTACAGTGGCGCCCAAACTAAAAAACAAAAGGTGGTGGTTGAATTTTCCACCACCAGGATTTGGTGATTGCGTCCCCTAATCCCCAGATGCCCTTTAAAATGGGGAGTATATAAGGTATTCCTCCTGCCTTCATGGTGTAGTGGTCTGCACGCTCAGGCAGGTGTTTGAGAGGTCCGTGGTTCGATTCCTGGCGAGGGCATTGCTCATTTTTCAAGTCTCCTGCTTCCAAAAAATCCTAATGTCTCTGCAGTTAGAGAATATTAATAATCTAGTATCTCATTAATAGAATGTCAATGGCTTAAGGAAATATTTGATAATTTAACAGTTTGATAGTTACATTTCTTGTATTAGTAATTAGTTTGTTAGTATGTGCTTTTCTTTATTTTCAAATTTGAAATTAAATTAGTTTGAATCTACACTTGGAAACACAAAATTATGTAGTAAAATTGCATATTTTCATGAGATTGTTATTTTTCAGACATAAAACACTGGGTGCCTGCAAGGCATGGCAGAAATTTAAAAGTAACCCTTAAGGCAAAATCGGTTGGACACACTGTTCTAAATAATAACAGAATAAAATTGTTTTGGAAAGTTAGCATAGAGACTGTAGGATGCTTCACTAAATCAGTAGCATCATAGGACATTATCTGTATCACCATATGGTAAAGCCCTAGTGTTCTGTATATGTTAATTCCTGTCCTGTATTCTGTGATTTTATTTTTTGCTTGGTAAGCCTTATGTAATTTATGTTATTCATCCTGTGTAGAGGAAAACTGCAGCATTATCTCCTGCTTCTTTTTGAGCTATCTTTAGCTGATTTTCTAAATGTGTAAAAATTGTTATTTTTTGGTACTTCAATGGATTAAAATTTCCATCATTGTTTTGCCTGTTTCTTAGGAAACTTTGATGAAGCATAACATGTACTAATGCATTAAATGTTTTAAGAGGGAAAAAAAGTGAAAAACAAAATTCCAGTTTCTTAAATTGTTTAAAGCTGTATCAGATACCTAATTGCAATATGACACTGTATCAGATACCTAATTGCAATTAGAAACGGTATTTTTCTAATTGCAATTAGGTATCTGATACAGTGTCATATTGCATTATAAATTCTTTTCTTTCCTCAGTTATTATATATTAGCTAATAATATATATAATTTAATTTTTCATGTCATGTTTAAAGTTTTTATAGAAATAAGATCTCTTTTGTCCATTTTGTAATGCCTGAGACTAAAATTACACGAACTGATTTAGGACAAGCTAAATTTAATTTCTACGGTAAAAGATTTTAATATTTTTAATGAAATAAACTAATTTTTATAAACACAGTAAAATGATCTCTTTCCTAAATACATGCCATGTGCTACATAAAGTGCTTCATAAAGATTGTATAGCTAAATGTCTCTTAAATGACTGGATGTGGACATTGGTTTCAGGTTTAAAAAAAATGAATCAGATGAAATCAGAGTATGACAAGTTCACTTGATATCTTTTCTTAAAAAATATTCAGAACTTTCATTTTTATATGGACCATGCAGAAAAACATTATAATCTTGTAAATATTTAGTAAAAGTATCATAATCTGAAAGCTTACTTCCTTTATGTATTTATTTACCTGGAGGCATATGTCTATTATCAGCTGTTCAGGAGATATTCAGCCAGGCAGTCCTTTTTATACAGCTTTAATAAGGCTTAATATCACAGGTGTTAGCCTGTCGTATACTTTTGAAATTTTTGCTTCCAGGATATAACTGTAGTAAAGTCAATGAAAAGTCCTCCAGCTGGTGTAAAACTTGTCATGGAAGCAATATGTGTTTTAAGAGGTATCAAACCTGATAGAATACCTGATCCTGCTGGAACTGGTATGTTACAAATCTTGTCCCCTTTTTTTTATTTATTTATTTTTCCCTTTTAAAATAGATATTGATGAGATAATTTTAGATAACTGTCTAAAACTGCTATAATTTTTTGGGTGTAAATTAATATTTGTTTTTTAAATTATTACACAAGGAAAGGTTATTATGCTATATATCTGCAAATGGGAAAGAATATACTTTCATTTTTTTAAAAAAATATTTTATTAACTTAAACATTCACTGCATTGTTTATGTAAATGATATTTCTTTTGAACTGCATATAACAGATGTATATTTGCTTGTACTGGTTATATAAATTTTTGCAATTTATGATGATTTCAGTTGCAGTGAGATTTAAAAAGGAAAGTATATATGTAATGAAACTGCGGTTGGATCACATGACATGAATGATTTGATTGAGAATGCTGCACAAACTTGCGTTAAAATCTTCGGTGAAACTGGACTTTTCCCAGGATTCACTGTGAACATAGCTTAACACTAGAACGTCGAGAAAATCGTACCTACGTGGAACGGCGGTAAGGGGTCATTTTGATCCTTCGAGGAAAGTATAACATCTGTAAAACAATTTTAAATGCCAGACATTGGCAAAAATATGTATTTTATATGTATTTCATAGTTTATATTTAATATCACATGATAATTTATTGACTTTTTAAAATACTGTAAATGTATCGAGTACATGGCGATCAATTGGATCATACTACAATTACTCAAATAACTCATTAATTTGGTATAAGAATTGATTTCAAATAAATGTTTTCAAATGTTAAAACTAATGTTAATTAAAATAAAACACAGTTTATATAATAATATTTTTTGTGTACTTACTTGGAGGATAATTCACTCTAAATCCAGAAATGAGAAATTATCTCTGATATTTCAGTTATATCATTATATGGGTAGCTGAATGGAATATGTAAAGCATTTTATTTCAGTTCTATTTAATGTTTAAAATATTAGAGATTACTCATACATATTAAGAATTAATGCAGTTGATACAAAAATAAATTTTAACAATTTTTCCAGTGCATTTTCTACACACAACTTTGGAACAAGATGCGCAATATCCTTGAGATTTGTTTCCATTGCATCTCTGTACTTGACACTTTTTTCTCTTTATATCCATTTTCTTTTCATGCGTTTTTTCTGAAGACTCAGGAAGGATCTTTGGGAGTTTTGAAGCCATATGTACCACTAAGTCCTCTCCTAATTTCAGTAGAAAATTTCTCCTGTTAATGGTGTTTTCTGTTACACTTTTATAAGTTATCCAGGCAATCAAAGCTGCGTGATCCAAAATATTGAAAAAGATATATACAGGCCATCATCTAGAAGCCGATTTAACTGAATATTTTCGGCACATCTGACCACAAATATCCACACCATACTTTGTTGTGTTGTAAAATGCTATTGAATCGAGCAACTTCAGTTTTTACAGTAGAATTTAATGAGCTCCAAACAAAAACGCTTTTGTTTCTTTTTGCCTTGATAGATGGTAAGTGTAATATTATCATGTTCAACTATTGTTGATGTATAAAGATTACTACGCATATTTTCCAACGACATAGGAATTTCTCTTCTTTTCTTTTTCGTTGTGCTGACCATAGTTGTATTTTTTTTTTATTTTAGCATTTCTGGTAATTTAATGCTAGTAAAATAGTTATCCGTGGTAATATTCCTCCCTTTGTATAGATGTGGCTCCATTAATTTTATGACAACATTTTCAGACAAACGTAATTGAGGATTTCTTGTTTCATCTCTTCCTAGATAAGGAAATCCATTCAAGAGGTATTTAGTATCAATGTCGATAGATAACGAAAATTTTATTCCAAATTTGTTAGGTTTATTAGGCATATATTGTGTAACCTAGCTTTAGATGGTAATAATTGTTCATCAACTGTAATATTTTATATTGACCGGTAGAACATTTTGCAGTTTTCAATAAATTTGTTCCACATGTGTGATGCAAAAGCAAACTTAACTTTGCAAGAGCAAACTAACTTAACTAACAAACTAAATTTGTAATCGAGTAGATCTTGTTGTCTTTTCATCGAACCTTAAAAATTGTTTTATTTCTTTGAATCTATCTGAGGTAGTTTCTTTGAAAAATGGTATTCCCCATGCTGCGGACCACAAGGAGTATAAACCTAAGCCCTTTGCTCCTATTACTCCTCGAACATACAATATAGCAACAAAAACATCTAACTTAGCCAGAGATAACTTCCAGCCTTTATTTCCAAGTTGCCAGTGAGCTTCAGATTCTGTACATTTCTTTAGTTGCAGTAAGATATCATCATCAATAAAAAGCTTGAAAACACTAGACACTTTGTCCTCAGAAACATGACTTTTTGCAAAAGATGTTGGTCCTGCTGTTTCTTTTAGAACATTATTAGCAGGAACACGGCCGTAGACTGAATTTTTGAAATTTATTTCTTTCCATATAGTGTTATCAGGAGCTGTAAAAACAGTTTTGCAAATACCCTGATCCATTCTTGCCCATTTATTTTTGCTGAGTTCTTCATTTACTTCGCTGTCCTCGGATTCACTGGAATTCATCTTCAGTTTCTACAGAAAAATTATAAATTTCACCTCCGTCAGACTCATTTTCAGATAGCTCCTGCAACAATTTTTTAATTTCTTCATCCGTAAGACCTCTTTTCCGCTTATTGGTTTGGTTTATTGAAATAACGGCAAAGCACACTAGGGCTATCTGCCTAAGGGGAGGGATGACTTCGTGGAGGACTTTCTAAGGGAAACTGACTCGTATACACATTACACATCTTTTCCGCTTATTAGGCATATTTTGTAAAAGTTGAAAATCGTCAGAAAATTTGACTATCAGAAAATGATAGGGAATATATTTTAGCATAAGATTCTCACAGTGTAAAGGAAAGGTGATAATGAACTTGACAGCAGAATTCATATGTACTGAAATACTGATTTGGGATTACCAAGAAAACATCTGTCCTAACTGTTATCACCGGCAGTAAGTAAACTGAACTAACAAACGGAAAAATACATCTGTAAAATAAACTATTTCTGAAAAGAAATGTAAGCATGAAAAACCCTGCATCTACCTTTCTTGCAATATTTTCTTCAAACAAATAAATAATTGCAAACTAGGGAACAACAACTTATGTAGACATTACAAAGTAGTGAGATCACCCAGGTTTTTATCCATCTGGGAGATAGTATGAATGCAATCAAAAAATCCTTATCAGTGAATGTTTTTTATGGGTTATTTGACAATGCCTCAAGCAAACAGAGGGATAAAAGTAAAGGGGTCAAAATAACCCCTGTCCGCCGTTCTGGGAATACATACCAATATTTCAAAAACTAACAAACCTACAATGCTGAATTTTTTTTTTTACAAATATTTGTTATCTATTTAGGAAAAGTCAAAAAATTCCAAACGATTTCTTCCAATAAAACAAAAGTAATCAATGGTCAAAAGTGTTCAGGGGTCGAAATGACCCCTACCGCCATTCTAGTGTTAACAAACCCGTGTAGATTTCTTCATAATTAGAACTTGCCGAAGAATGTAATGACAGAACAATTTTGTAAGCACTGAAATAAGAACACTGAGATGCAAATGCACAAAAATACTGATGGTGTAGATACTGGATGTTTAGTGCGTCCATCCATTTTGAAGAAGCAGCAGACAAGCTGGATTAAATTCCTTTTTTTTTTTTATTTAAATTATCATTTTGTGGCCACAATTCACTTGGCACTCCACTTGTGCCTATTAGAGACCATTTGCAATTTTTGATATTATTGCCATGGAAGCGAATATAGCAGCTCATACGTGATTACAGCAAAGCATTTGGCGAAGAGGAAAGCAAAAGTGACATTCAAAGAAAGAAGGGAAGGAGTGAAAAGTTTGAGTTTTTTAGTTTTGGTTTAGAATTTGGTGATTGGTCAAGATTCATCTGCATTAAGGGTTACATAAGATCGCATTATTAATTTAAATGACGCAGTTTAGACTTACAGCTCTGTTTTTAAGACAGATAGATAAGTTCCCAAATGAAATAAAAAATAAAAGAGGTTATAGGGAATTAAATTTAGAAGTTTGCTTTCATATTTTTATCTTACATAGGTGTTAGTTTGGTACATTTATATTTACAATATTGGCAACACCAAGTTCTCTTCTCTGTGTGTGAGCTATGGATGCCGATGTAATGTTGTGCACGTGTTGTTAAGTTTCAATAAAAAATGTGAAAAGATACGTTTCTTATTTTTCGACTTGCTTCTTCATATGATATCGATTTATTTAACATGGTAGCAGTTCTCGTGGTTTGTGAATATGAATGAAGAATTTAGTAGTTATAATTTGTTTTAAAAGTTACCGGTACTACTAGCGTAAAAATGGCATGTACAAGAAGCAGCGATATCGGCATACCGCTATTTGATGGTTCGGACTATTTTAATTGGAAAGTGCGTATGATGAAATTTCTTCAATTTAAAAAGTGTAAAGATGTGGTTCAGCGAAAAGTCAGTGAAAACGATGACGTGGAAAAATGGGAAGAAAAGGATATCCAAGCTACAAATTACATTTACGGCGCCATAACAAACAAGCAATTGGAATATATTCACGAGTGTGAGACTGCATTTGATATAATTACGAAATTTGATGCAATGTATTTAAAAACTTCAACATCTCTACAAATTGTTTGTAGAAATAACTTAGAATGTGTGAAACTGAAAAATTATCCTGATGTAAATATATTTTTCGATGATTTTGAGAAGTATGTGAACGAACTGAAACATGCCGGCGCCACCGTGACGGAACAAGAAAAATTGAACTATATGCTAAGAGCATTACCTTCAAATTACAGTCACATTGGTGACTTAGTAGATGTATTACCAGAGAAGGACAGAACAGTCGATTACCTAAAGAGCAAAATCAAATCAAAATTACTTGAAGAGAAAAATGATTATGAAGATCGTGCACCAGCAGAAAAATCAAATGCGTTCAAAATTGAAACAAG